AGAGTATCACATAGGTACAAATAAAACTATTGAATGACAACTAAAGTTTAACGGAAAATATAATAAAATTTCAATGAATAAAAATCTTTAAAATATTTTGTTAAAAACCGAATATTAAACCAGTTACAGCAAAATAAATAAATGTTTGAAGCAAGCTGTACTAGGTTTAAGTATCGGATTGTACACATCAACTCTCAGATTCAAGTTAATCTAACTGATGAGTCTGGAATAGGACGAAACATGCCTTTCGTATTTTATTGCTAGCCACTATTCATCTCTATCTATAAATTAACACCATTTAAAAAGTGTGATATAAGTACTTGTGTCTTTTTAAATATATGATATATAAATACAATATGATATAAAAACAAAAATGTGGCTAAATGACAATTCACAAAACTCTACAGACGTAATAAATACTTGGATATTTCTATTAATTAACAAGATACAATAGTTTATTAGATCTCACTTTATTCCAGTACAATCTGTAACTGATATGAATCATTGTTTGCATATTAAATGTAAAAAAATTATTTCTTGTGAGTTCAAGTAATTAGTGTAACATCTGCAAAGTACAAACAATTGTGTTTCACTCCACCGTAAATCTTAGAAGGTGTATCACGCGAAACTATAGAAAACGATGGTTAGAGACCTTGAATGAGATGGCTCAAAATCGTTTGCAATGGTACAGGTGCATCCACTCTTTGTGTTCTCCCAAATTCTAATCTTCTGAATTCTTCATGTCCCTTTTTCCTCTTTCCAAATTTATTTCACTGGATTATAATGCTGGAATAACATCTTCAAACACTAATCTTTCTGATTACTGCTTATACTTCTACTACGTCTACCACCATGTGATTTGAATCGACAACTTCATCTCTTTGATAATGGCAACTTGAACTGATGTACGTACGTACAAAGTTCTATGTTGTTGCCTAACTGACCGACTGTCACATGAATTTATAACATTATTCTACTCATGTAAACGTAATCTCAGTAAACTGTTCAGAAAAAAACATGCAAAACCATTATTCCAACATTTGATTCTTATTAATAGTATGAAAAATTCTAATCTAATTCATCTTTTACTCCCTAATTACAACAGATGAATAAACAATCTTAAACATTAAATGAAATAGATCTTCATTCAATATTGATTAATTTTTATTACATAACCATTAAGAATAAGATCAATTATTTTGTTCACTCGATTCAACAGAGTGTTCAAGTCACTTTTCATTTTTTTCTTCTTCTTCTTCATAAATTTCATTTCATATCGATTTATTGTTTGTTTGTCGTTTCTTACTACTATCATTTATCATATAAACAGTAAACAGAAGTAAATATTTATCGGATCATATAAAGTGAAAAGTAAATAAATACCAATAAACTTATTTTTTGAATTTATCATGAACAAATCAAACAATGAATATTTATTTTTTTGATTGAGATCATGAACCGATTGATGTTAGACCACCATTGACAACCTGGAAGCACTGGACGGCCGTTTCGTTCTATTGTGGGACTCCTCAGCAGTGCGTATCCACGATCCTGCCTGGCAAAATTCGAATCCAGGATCTTCAGTCTTGCGCGCGAACGCTTAACCTAACATCAATCGGTTCATGATTTCAATAAAAAAACTTGACAATCTCCACAACCCCTAAACTGATAATGAATATTTATAATTGAAATTAACGAATTAAAAAAATCAAATAAACATGATTATCAGTATTGAGTTATAGAGATTATAAAGTTTTTTTTGGATTAACATCATGAACCGATTGATGTTCGATCATTATTGAACATCTAGAAGTACTGAATGGTTATTTCATTTTATTGTAGAAGTTGTCAACAGTGCGCATCCACGATCCTACTCACAGGATTCTGGTTTTCAATGGTTCATGATCTCAATCAAAAACATTATTAAATATATTTAAAGAGTTATTATAAAATTTCCTATGGAAAATTCATTCTATATTTATAAGCCCCTATCATTTTTCACTTTATTGATAGTATATATAAAATCAAACTATTGTTTTATATCAAACAATCCATTCTATATCTATTCATAAAGAAAGTTGAAGTGACTAATTCAAAGAAGTTTGAGTTATTTTTTTCATTAAATTGATATTAAACCAATAAGTTATTGACAGGAAACTTTGGACAGAGTTTTCGTGCTACTTATCACTCGTTAGTGAAGTAAACCTGTAATTTCAAGAAAATTTATGCTCTTGTCTAACCGTTGGAACATTAGATTCTAGAACAAATGCAGAACTAATAAGTTATTTGATTCCAGCAAGTTTACAATGGTTCTCAAACTCGTATCAGTCTATGATGAAAAAAGCTTGCGAATTAAATTAATAACTAACTAATTACCAAAGTCATTATATATATATATATATATATTATATATATATATATATATGATGCATGCTTCGTATGTTCACAGATATAAGTAGTATGTAACACTAATCAGAAGTAGAATGCCTGGCAGCAGAAGATTGAGAAGATCGAATTGAAGATAAAAAGAATGTGAACAGAGAGTAATTGTAATAATAATGGAGGAACGACGGTGTTTCCAAGAGACAACTGATGGAAGGTGTGCAAATGACATATTTAGTGTATGCTTTCCATATTTTGCGAAAACACTGAATAATTTCACATTAAACAATAAATTGGTTATCTCCATCTGAGCTCTTCATCCATAATAAGTACGACGCATCATTTGATTACAATGTAACGAATTATTAGTATTTGTTAAAAAATAATTGGCAAACGGAGAAGTCCATCACATTAGATTATGATCTATCAAATTCATTTGAATTACAGTATAATTATTAACAAACATAAGAATATACTAGCTCAATATAATAGGTGACAGGTTCATTGAAATTAGATTGTCATTTCTTTTTGTTAAAGTTTCATTATGTTTAAATATTTTGTCAAACTTGGTATGTTTAGTATAACAAAGTGCATCCTAAGTTTACTTCACAATTCTATATCTATTTATATGAATATTCGTCAATATTAGAAAGAATAGTTTGACAAAAATTGGGCATCGATTATAGAAAAGTGAAAATTGTGTTCTGAAATAATCTTAGTTGACTAAAATTTAAATAATTTGAACGTTTCGTCCAGTTAACTTATCGGAGCTTTAAGGTAATAATCAAGATGAAAATCATCAAAGAAATATATATAGCGTATCTCTTTATTTGCTGTCCTTACTTTTAGTTAGCGTTTTTCAGTGAGTTAGTTTTCTACGGGATGGGGTCGCTAACCCCATGCCCAACCCTCCTCCTTTGTCCGGGCTTGGGACCGGCAGTAGCCCCTGTAGGGACTCCAGGCGGAGTTCTTTTAGTGACAGAGTGAAATTGAAATACTATAATCACTAAATCAATTTAATTTTTCTATACCTTTTCAAACAAATTAATAATTAAAAGTTACTGATTGCATAATTTATACTAATCCGAACGTTTTTACAAAGTCATGTTAGGAGTATGCAAAAGAAATATATGAAGACCAATATGAAATACTTCAAGTTTTCTCCTGCTTATTCGGCTTGAAACCATCACGCTTATAGTTACTAATAATAAACCAAATCATTCGAAAGTTCTTTTCTTATTTTCGGTACACTACTAAACAATTTAAAATTGGTGAATTATTTTGTTTTTTTTGCAATACAATTTGCATCTAATGACATAGAATTCATAATTAAGTTATTAGCGCAAAATTAGTTTTTAATGGTTACAAGGATGAAGTATACAATAATCATGTAATTATAAGCAAAAATGAATGATGACTAGCAGTGATATCCAGGATGCATGTTTCGACCTTCTCAAGACTCATCAGCTGAATATAACTGCATTTCAGATTTGATATTGACTCTGGAACTTAAACCCAATATCATTCGCTTCAAACATCGTCACGTTACCCACTTAGCTATTGAGTCCTGATAGTCAGTAGCTTGTACAATGGATTGAAGTTTAAATTCAGTTGGTATTGCTTGAAAATGTAATTGGTCAGTCTGAGATATAGGCACATCAAATTGATGGGTCCTGGATTCCATTACGAGCCACTGTCTCTCTTTGCTTACAACGCTTGTGAATTAAGACAATATCAAGACAATACGCACAGTTCGTACATATGTCAATAAGATTATTTGTTTGAAAGTTTCCATTGATAATTAAAACTGCATTCAGTCGTTTTGCTTAAAATGCTTGTAACTTAAAACAATATCAAGGCTATCCTCGCAGGATATCCATATACCAATTGTAGTCCTAAACATCAATGAAAAGATTTCAATAAATAATAGAAAAGATATTATTATAAGAAGGTGTTTTCTGGAACTGTTTATTTTAAACTAAGACTTATCATTTAAATTTGGTTTAATGTATACCTTCACTCTCATCATCATCATCTAATGATTATGTCATCTAATATATTTACATAAATCATATCAATATCACTTATAAACTAATCTCACAAGGCGTGTTCTTGTCGATAATATAGTTAGTTTAATAGTTGAGATCATGAGTCAATAGAAGATAGATCACTATGGAAAACCTGCATGTACTGGACGGCCATTTCGTCTTAGTATGGGATTCACAGAAGTGCGCATTCACCATTGTGACTCACCAAATTCCAACCGAGGACCTATAAGTTTCGCGCGCCACCACTTAACCACTAGACCACTGAGCTGTCCGGCATTCAACGTTGTTAATGTCTAATCTCAACTAATCCACGAAATTGAGTCACAAATCCACAATTGTCATCAGCGAGTTACTATCTCATAACAGACCCGATTCAACTCCACTGTTCACTGTTTCTCACTAGAACTCCATAAAATACCTCTTGAAGCCAACCACTAGTGATTATAAATTAATTAATATCAGAAGGAGTTTATTTCAAAAGTTGAGATCATGAATCAAAATTCATTATGTAATTCATCGTCACAACAACAATAATAAAAATAATAATTACGAATATCAAACTATACTTACTTGGTATACAATCGCAGAATGATGCTATACAATTAATTGTAAAATATGGTAACCAACATATTGTAAATGAACCTAATATTACACCTAATGTAATTGCTGCTTTATGTGCATTATATATTTGTTTTTCTGGATAATTTATTATTATTTGTGGACGTGTTATATCATTCCCATTATTATTATTAATTATTATTATTATTATATGTATTCCATGATGAATTTCTTGATATATTATATAATGGTAAACTATGTTTACGTCTTGTATTCATTGATTGATCTATAGTTATATATGAATGATGATTTGTAAATTGTATTGATTTATTGATTGTATTTATTATTAAATCATTTTTATTTGTTATATTCATATAATGTAATGAATCATTGAATTGTCTATTATTATTTAATTGTGTTGAAATTTTTAATCGATTCATTGAGATTGTTATTGATTTATTGATAATATGATCATTTAAATCAATAGAATTTAAATTTAAAAATGTTTTACATTTTTTTAAAAAATTTGATGAATTATGTAATAAATCAATAAATTGTTTATTATTATTACTATTATGATGATGATACAAATGATGATTCAAATTTAAATGATTTGAATAATTTTTTTTAAAATTTGAAAATATATTTAATCGATTAATATGTTGTTTTGTTAATAAAAATAAATATGTATATAGAATTATCATAATCAATAATGGTATAATAAAACTAAATATTGTATTGGTTATTGTATAAAATAGATTAACTTTATGAATACATATAAAATTTTTTTGTATTTTATAAATCGATAATAAATTGATTTGTTTGGATGGAATTTCATCGATTGATGATTCAATTGTACAATTTTGATTTGTATCATATGTATTGATTACATTATAATTATTATTATTATTATTGATTGTTATAGATTGTTTATCATTCATATGATTCCAATTTAATTGAATTGGGATAATTGTGATTAAAAAGGCTAAAAACCATAAACTTATTAATATAATTAATAAATATTTTAATTTAATACAACGTGAATAATTTAATGGTGATTTAATATAAATAAAACGATCAAATGCCATAACAACTAAATGTAATATAGTTACTGTACAAAATAATTTATCTAATGAAAAAAATAATTTAATAATTAAATCATTAAAATATAATGGATGAATAAGATTATAAATAATATTAAATAACATAATTATACTAGAATATATAATATTTGTAATAGATAATGATATAAAAAATATATTTGATTTATGCCTTAAATGTCTATCATTAAATGCTATAAAACATGCTAATGAATTACCAATAATTGTTAATATACAATAATAATTGGTATAATAATATTCCATTGTAATAAATCATAATAATGATCATAATAATGTAATGATTTTATAATGGAATAAATATTTGGATTCATTTGATATGTAGATGGTAAATCATAAAATGTTTTTATAAATAATAAACATGTTTGATTATTGATTAATTCAATAACATTTAAATTGAATTCAATACTATTGTTCATTGAATATTTTTTTGTTTTTTTTTATAATAAAATTGAATTGAATTAATTAATTAATTATTTAATTATTTCATAATTATAAAATAATTTAATACATTTATTATATTTAATTAGTAACTTGATATTAATTTATTGGAAATGATGTTTTTTCATTAAATTGTGAATTATTTATTTAAGGATACAGAAATATTATCTTTATTTATTTGAATAATTTTTTTTTGTTTTTTTTATATCTAATTGAAATCTGATTGGTTGTTCATTGAATGAACCAATAAGAATTGAATTAAAATGTTATATCCCGATAAGAATAATGTATGGTAAGTTTTGGGATCTATTAATGAACCAATATTATGAGTATATTTTTATCGTATAATTGTTATGTAACTAAACTGTTCATTATTCATGTCTCTCTTATTATGAGTTTTATTTCGACTTATGAACTATTATTATACGATTTACCATTCTTGAATTATTTCCTGTCTGTTCATTACTACCTCTCTCATTCACAGCCACTTTTGGCTAAATATTTTACAAATCTTGTTTCGTATTTTCTGGTACGTTGTGGTCTGTTTGATTGGTATATAAACCGAGTATGTTTGAAATAAATGATTCATATTGCAGAGTCTGAGATTGGTGTTCTGGACTCAATTGGCTGGGTTAGACAGGAAGCAGGACCCATCAGGACTCTAGGTTGCTCGCACGTGTTTTATGCGTCACTCGTTCGATCGATCATTCGCTGCTCTCTGATTGGTTGTATCGTTGCATTATACAATAACCAGGGCACACAGGTTCAGAAGTTATGACATGAAACAAGAAACAGATTGAATGATATTTATTAAAGTATTGATTAAATATATTATACTTGATAAATGAACTTTTTATTTTTTTTTTAAAACAAATTGAGTGATTAATTTATAGTAAAGATCATGATTCAATTGAAGATAGTTCATCACGGAAGATTTGCTAAGGAGTTTTATATCAGTATGAAATGGTCATCCAATTTTTCCAAGTTTTCCATGATGGTCTAAATTCAATCGACTCATGATCTCAACTATTGAAATTATTATAATATTAACAAATGAACCCGTTCTGTTATTAATTAATATATGCCTACTAGTGATTGGCTTCAAGAGGTATTTTATAGAGTTCTTAGTGAGAAACAGTGAACAGTGGAGTTGAATCGGGTCTGTTATGAGATAGTAACTCACTGATGACAATTGTGGATTTGTGACTCAATTTCGTGGATTAGTTGAGATTAGACATTAACAACGTTGAATGCCGGACAGCTCAGTGATCTAGTAGTAGGTCCTTGGTTCGAATCTGGTGAGTCGCAATGGTGAATACTCACTTCTGTGAAGTCTCATACTAAGACGAAACGTCCGTCCAGTACATGCAGGTTTTCCATGGTGATCTATCTTCAATTGACTCATGATCTCAACTATTAGAATAACTATAATATCGACAAGAACACGCCTTCTGAGATTAATTTATATGTTATATTGATATGATTTATGTAAATATATTAGATGACATAATCATTAGAAGATGATGATGAGAGTGAAGGTATACACTTAACCACATTTAAATGATAAGTTTTATTTTAAAATAAGGTTTGTGAAAATTGTTGAAAGCAATTGAGATAATAAACCTATCTTACTTAGACAAATATTGAATTGGACGGTTGTTTCGTTTAGGAATCTGCCTTTTAATAAGCGTATGTTCACAACTCCTCCATAGGTGGTAGAATACTAGATCTTTAAGTCCCTTATGAAGGGCATCTAACCTTTTAAATGTTGACCTTCAATCGATTCCTAATATTTCAAAACCATCCTCTATGTTATTCGGTGAGTATTTGATTTTTATCAGACACTTTTAAATTGCACTGCTCATAGCTTCATAACAAAACTCAAGGAATTACTTCCCGAAATTAACTATTAGTAACAACAGATTGACTATCAATACAATTCCGTTTATTGTGATTATTTCATGCTCGTGATCTCTATAAAACAGCATTTTAATTGGTTGAACTTACGTCAGTAAATGCCAAGTTTCTTTGAAGTTATTTTGTAATACGTGTAATGTGACTAAAAAATTTGTTTGTATAGGTCGATTGAAATACCAAAACATTCTCTTAATTATTATCACCATTCTCGTGATGTAATTATGTTTTTTCGATGGTTAACAAATAATGCACTATACAATTTACATATCACTGGTAAATAATAAAGTCTTTTCATGATTGTTTAGAATATTAATTATGTCATTTATGTAAACTGTTACCATTTGTGCACTACAGGTGAATGTCTGTATCAAATTTCTTTAGTGAATCATTACTTCACATTAAGTTAGAACTATAAGATTAAAAATGTTATGAAGTGTCGTATGTGAATATACCTAGAGTATCATCGGTGAATTTAAATAATGGACTAAACATGGAGCCGATAGTTGAAACTTTAGTAACTAAAATTATTTCATTTATTATTATTATTAGAAGCTTTATTCAAAATTATATTTTTGGTACAATATAGAATTCTCAGCATAAAGTATTTCAACAAGTTTCCTTTTCTTATATCTCGATCGATTGTGACGATAAATTTTGAGTGATGACCAGTTACATGTTAGGAGTTCGGTAATCCACATTTGATTAATGTTCCTTCGCTTCAATGCATATTGCCAGCCCCATGATGTCGCTGATTGTACCTTTTTGTAACCCGTATAGCGAAAGGTTGTAAACTTTTCATAAACGCGCCTGAATAGATTGTGAGCACAATAGACTTGATGAAGTGCTAAAACAAACAAGAAAACAGATAACTTGATGAAATATCTAGATCGGTGGAACAGGTTGCCCAGACATTCAAGCAGGCCGCCATAACTAATCAAATGGTAACTCATTAAAAAAGTATTCACACCCAAAGTTGACATAGTTATGAAATAATAAGAAGCTATTTTTAAATCTGTAATTAGATATTTCAATACTTTTAAAAAACTTGGCAAAACCAATTAAAAAATATTAGCTTTCTGACAATCAGTAGTTTCTCTAAAATTATACATATATACACTAATAATTAAATTCATGAGTCGATCTAAGCTACACCACAATTGAAAACTGTAAAGCATTGAACAACCTTTTCGTCATAGTATGAGACTAATCAGCATTGCTCATTCACAACTCTACATGTGGGACTCGAACCCAGGACCTTCGATCACGTGCATCAATGCTTAACCTATAGACCACTGAGCCAGCATCCAATGGTGTTAATGTCTAACTGCAATCAATCTATGATCTTGCGCAACCCTACACTCATTGTTTATGTTGGATAACTGTCTCACATCCAAAATGGATTAGACAGCACTTTTCACGGCTTCTTACTAGAACTTCATCTTGATACTAAACACTAATGAGTATATGATTATTATGGCAGTAGGGGATTCATGATTCGACTCATGAATACAACTATTACAAATCCCCATTCTGACATAAATATTACTTTATTAATTCATACTTTAACAAAAAGAAAAGAAAAAAAGGAATTTTATCTAAACCATTGTCCTCACCTCTATTGTTCAGATTTCAATAAACCGATTATTTATTTTCTAAATTTAGATTACGCGACATTTAATACATATTGTACACTTGTGACTTTATTACGTTTCATGTTACTATAGTAATAATAATAATAATAACAGTAATAATAATCATTTAGTAATCTTATTTCGCATATTTTGAATTGCGAAACCAATTGTTTAATCTAAATTTGGTTTCATTTTACGTTTTCATAGTTAAATGTCACATGGATAAACAGAACAAACAATTTTTGGTTACATAGTTAACATGTATTCGACCAATTCCTTTGATATAGTCATGAAAGTGCTTCTAATCTATAAGTTTATAAAGTTGAAAATAAATGATATTCTGTGGTGTGCTAGTGATATCGATAGATATAAGTAGTATGTATCATTCATCGGAAGCGAAATGTCTGGTGACAGAAGGTTAAGAAGATCAAAGAATAAAGAACCAGAGCAGAGAGTGATTGGTGTGGAAACGAAGTAACAGTCAAGTCTGAGACGATTGATTGACATTTTGTCAATGAAGTATTTACTTTACCGTTCTCAGATTTTACTTGGATATTCTGTAGTCTTGTGTCAAATAACATTGGTTGTACCCGCTGATGTTATCGTTTATTACAATAGGAATAGTTAGGAAAACAATCTGGAAGGCTCAATTATTTTATTTGAATCAAACGTCTTAATGAATAATGTTAAGAAAAATTGGGCTAACCAAAAACGTTAACTGTAAAATATAGATGAGAGGTAAAATTCACATTCTGTCTTCTTCAAGTCGAGCTTCATAGCCTTATGCTGCTATACACTCCTTCTCATCTGTCTTACATAATAGTTTTGTCTGTCGACGTAATTAGAACACATCACACTCGTCCCCACTTTAAACGACCGTCTTGCGATTGTTCTGCTTGCCATTACACGTTTGCTGAAGTCTGCGCCACACCTCCCGTCAAACTTTCCAGTCTGTGGTGCTCTGAGCTTTATAACTCCATCAACCTACCGAGTCATTGAAATCCGATGTCCACATTCAACGCCTGAGGTCCAGTGACTTGCCAAACTATCTACACACAGTTTTCGCTCAGCAGCTGCACGTCGCACTGCTCTCTCCGTTGATATCAACTGCTACAGCCGACGTCAACCCGTCAAAACACTCCACTCGATGTCACCTCCCTTCAGCAGACCGCCCCAACTGGTGCCTCTCAAGGCCCCACGTCTGAGTCCGCAGAACTAAACTCTCCCCCATAACAAATTATCCGTGAGAAGCTCATTCAAATTTGTTTATTTTGACTTCATTGAAAACTTTTATTTGAATTAGACGATAGAAAACCATGATGTATAGCCCATGGATAAGATTTACCTCAAAATATTAATCTATCAAACTGTTCTCAGATGTGTTCAGCGTTTAGTATTCTGTTTTCTAAAGTCAAGGTACTGAACTTCAA